AATTCTGTGAATGAAAATGCAGAAGCCAAAAAAATATATAACAGTCAAAAGGATAAGGGTTGGCTCTGCATGGGACATATATAATTAATTTTATTTAGTTTTTCATTTTTGCATTAATGAGGAAAAACTATCGTTACGGACGTGACTTGTCTTCGTTACGGACGTGACTGCTCTGAAATTCACAGTTGACACATTATGAAAATCAGATAAATGCTTTCAAAACTTGACCAAAGACCTATTTGTGGATATCTGTTGGGTGTGTAAACCAATAAACTTTAACCTCTGAGACATCTGAATGGTAAGGTTGCACAATTAATCAAACTTAAATAGATATCACCTTGTTATATTTAATTCGTATTATGGCATGTGTGTTGTTAAAGGTTAACGCACGTTCGAATGTTCAAAACTCAATTCGGTAACAATGTTGCATGCTAACATGTTGCTTTTATACTCTGAATAATATAGAATTTATAATAAACATAATCAGCTATAATGGGCCTATGTTTAGCAGGCTCCTAAAGTTAGTGTTTCAGACAAACTTGAATTAAATCATTGCCCGACTGTTGCGCAAGACCTTGTCTACGTGGAGAATATTATATTTGACAAAGTTTATTTTAGTTTATTCTAGTTAACGTGTTAGTTGATGGAATAAATAATTTAATTTCTCCACTCGCGCTTGCTTTCTTTTTCTCGTCGGCAGTCACTTCAGGACAGGTTGCAAAAAGTTCATACGCACCAGGGTGAGAGAGAAAACTTTATAACTTAAGAAAGGTTTTGTGTAGGCTATGTTAAACAAGCAGAAAAATAGTCATTGGTTGTAGGCATGTACGATGGATGACTATAATGTTTATATTTTTAGGCTATAGTTCATAACCGATTGTGTAAAATATTGAATTAAATATTTACAGCTGCAGGTCCTATCGATTTTCTAACAAATTTATTACTCTTATAATGTAGTTAAAGCTTAGATCAATATCAAGATTTTATTCTTATTCTTATTAAAATAATTTTAATAAGCACTCAAGCGCATTTGCCGGGTGCTGGAAATCTTTGAAAATGTTTCAATTTTAATGTAGGCTATAGCCAATTTTCAAGCTTTGAAAGTGCTTAGATTTTGGATAAAGGGCTTGGAAAATGAATTGTGTCGCTTTGATAATTTATCTTTATAAATAGTTATTTAATTAATGAAATAAAAAACATATTTATGCTCTGCATGAAACGAAAACTCCGCTGTGGCCTGACCCGCGGCGTGCGCATTTTGAGCAGTGGGAAAAGACCAAATGCATGGAGGTTATTGATTATGCGCCTTGCACGCCTCGCGTTTTGTCATTGCGCGCTTTGTGCGCTCCAGAAGAAAAGCATGTTACCTCAGTGGCGTCTTTCATTCTTCAATCAAACGAAAGCAGAGGCGGGGTTTCCTTGGAGGTGACAGCAGTGTCAAGATGACTACGGCGAACTTTTTGATGACGGAGAGACTTGTGGTCGTTGTTTTAAGTCATCCAAAGTTGTATGACTTTACAAATCTTGAATTTCATAATGTTATTTAAAAATTTAAATTATGAAAACATTGACAGCAACACTCGCGCACAATAGACCAGCTGATTCAGTTGTTATCTATAGTGACATTCAAAAGAGCACCGTGCTCCTTTTCTTCTTGTCAACATAAAATGCATTGCGGAGCGCCTCACGTCTCTGGAATGAAGAAGCGCGTTCGTTGTGATCGGCTTTTATGAGCAACACATATTTGTTAACTCGCATGACAGTAACACGTGCAAACACACGTGCTTACATATGTTTTTTGCCAAAAAAGGAAAATGAAAGAAGGATATTCTGGCCACAGTTTGACACAGGAGTTGACGAACCAGCGCTGATCCTGGTCGTCTGTGCTGCCTGGAGCCGCGTCATAAACTCAACTAGGCATATTTCATGATTTAGTGCAGACTACAATCAACAAACCACCCTTTTTTCCATTTGGAAAAAACAGCTATTAATAGTTATTATATACATTTTAAATAGCCTAATCTACAAATCAAACAAAGACAAATATTTTATAACTTCGCACCAAACTGATGCTTTCATTTTACAGCTTATAAAACATGTATGCAAATTAATGCAGTATCACATGTAAATAACAAAATTGTTATATGCTTAGCCTATACTTTACAAAATGTATAGGTTCAAAGCCTTATGGTTCATTGTCATTATCTTTCACTATAGGCAGCGCGTGCGCACATGAACCGCAAGTAAGACGGAGGAAATAGGTTAAGTCATTATGGCAATATGTAAAATGTTGTTTTCTTATTAAACATTTATTTCTGAAATGTTACTAAAGTGGTTTATAGTTAAATGAAATGTTCAGTTCTTGATATAACATATGGATGTTATGTAATGTAAGTCAGTAATTGTAATGCAGCATCATAATGAACAAATATGCGCTAGTCATTGGCTTATATTAATAAGGAGTTCAAAAATGGTCACGTCCGTAACGCAAAATCGTGGTTGTTTAGAGCAAAGACCTGAGATGAATTGGCGATCATAATTAGTATGGACATATTTTGGCTTTGTATACAAAGTTTCATTTTATTTGTTATAATATTTATTCCACAGTATAAACTTTTTCATTAAATCGTTACGGACGTGACACGTGACCGAAGCTGCGTGATGTCTTAAATATGTAGCTCATAAATCAAAAGGGCAGTAATGTTATGAAAAAGTAAGGGTAATTATTTATACTACAGACTCCAATCCTTCTGCAGAATGATTACTGTTAACATAAAACATGGAAAAGGGGAGTCTTTAATCCCTTATTCTAAAGCACGAAATGTGGTTGGATTATAATGAAATTTACCATTGGCACAATCCTCATATTTCATGGATAAACAAACCAATTTCATTAAAAATTTAACAAGAGCACATCATTACAATTAAATATAGACCTTAATGAGCAAATTTAAATAGGTTTTGTTATTTTGGTCAAAAGTTTATTTTTTCATGATAAGGTTGACATTTTCATGGAATTGCTCATATATATATATATATATATATATATATATATATATATATATATATATACAGTTGAAGTCAGAATTATTAGCCCGCCTTTGATTTTTTTTTCTTTTTTAAATTTTTCCTAAATATGCTTATCAGAGCAAGGAAATTTTCACAGCATGTCTGATAATATTTATTATTTAATAGAAAGCCTTATTTGTTTTATTTCGGCAAGAATAAAAGCACTTATGATTTTTTTAAAAACCCATTTTAAGGTCAAAATTATTAGTCCCTTTAAGTTTTTTTTTTTCAGCTGTCTACAGAACAGTAGACAGTTGTATATATATTATATATAATATGGTGGGCCTACTAGTGATGTGTTTATAATAAATTTTCAATCACGTGATCTGATCATAACAATAATACCTTCACAGGCATGTTCCTGAATGGTGCTTTCTCCACACCATGGCCTTGAAAAACATCCTTGATAACTTGTTCATCGCTCTGGACAACATAAAAAAAAACTGTCAAACCATGCTCAACCTATACTTTAAATTATATATATTTTTAAGATTCATAATGTCTGACCTCAGCCAGTTTCTTGTGCAGGTTTTTGTTTTCTTGTCTCAGCTGCAGGATGCTCTCTCTGTTCTTCTTAATGGCAGACTGAGAGCTTTCGAAATACGCGCTTCTGTCTCCCTCTAGTGGACAGAATAGCAATTCATTAGCAATAACAATTTAAAAAGCTAGTGTAATGCCATTTAATATTTAAATAACATTACAGTTTAACGTTTTTTTTTATTTTTGACTATAACGTTGGTTTGAAATTGATATGCTTGCTTTAAACAGCAAACTAACGTTATCGTTACAGCAGCCAGTTTGCTTTTCATTAACTTTACATATTCTCGAATAATTCTTGTTACATATTCTCGAATAATTTAATGTAATAACGTTATAACAATGAATTATTCGAGAATAAAGTAAAAGGTAATAATTAAATAATAATAAGACGGCAGAAAGTCAATTGTACGTTAACGTTACCTCCTGAATATTTACAAGGTTTTAAGTAAACAGTTTTAGCAGAACTTACCAAGAAGTTGGATTTTTCTTTGGAGCTCCGAAATTTTATCATGAATAGGGACCTTAAGGCCACCAGAGACCGACGTGCCGGGCATTATATATGAATATGTTGAGGTTTAAAGTTGAATTTTCGTCTCCTCTGCAGCCGAGCCACAACCGTATCCTGTGCGTCTTTAACTGGTTGCCAAGCAACTCAACCAAGTTGACTCATGAATATTCAGTTACGTACCATTGCGGAAAGCAATACCACGTGCTTGGCCAGGTTAATATTTATTTCACATCATTGAATTATTTACACTTAATATAACGGCTTTGCTTCAGCCTTGATGTAATAACACTTCAGAAACATCAAAAACATATCAAATACATAAAAAAGTTGTCATTACTGTGAGCAAATACCACAGTATCAAACAGAAACACTGTCAGCAGGAGAATAAAATAATTCAGTAACATTAATACAGTCAGATAGTCTTTTCTACATTATATACATATTATAATATTATAACACCAAATACACAAAAAAGTAATTAGCAAGAACAAAATGAACAAAGGTTTAACACTTGGCTAATGACGTAGCATGAGGGTGCCTGGGCTATAAAAACAGTGCAAGTCAGCTCTCACTCATATTTTTTTTTTTGTCCAGAATGCCTACAATTCTGTTTGTTTGCTCCACTATTCAGCTCCTCATATACTCAATTCGTTTCACCCCCAAACCCCTAAATTTTAGCCGTCTTGGGAGCTACACGAGTGACTCCAGGAGATTGATTTGACTTCTTGAGGGTGGCCATCAGTCTTTCTGGCATGAAGTATGGTCTGTCCACTGTGCCATCGTTGCGTTCAAGATCCTCCACTGTTGAAAAAGTTTGGGTTAAGACAACCAATAGCATAATATATAATAACAGAAGCTGCACATTCAATAAATCCCTGAGATGTCAACATAGAGAGAGTTCAGTTTATTAAAGCGCTGGGAGATCACATTAACAACATGCAAAGATTGAGAAAAGTGAAGCACAGAGGTAGAAAAAGAGGCAATAGAGCGGCAAACAGCGACAAATATCAGGCATTGAAAAGTTGCAATCTGTTGATACAATAGCCCATCACAGCAGACCAAAAGATATGGGCAACAGCTTTTTCTTTCTTTGCTCTGTTTTTAAGTTGCCATATTTTCCATATCACGTTAGGCATAAATTTAACACAGCAATTTTTACAAAATGGCATTGGTCTTGGCTGGTATCACTGTAAACAGATGTGGGGGGTTTTCTGTTGTTGTTGCTGCTGTAAACATAGCAATACTGCAAACTTTTTTTTTTTTTTGCATTCTTCAATATGCTTAAGACATTGATAATTAACGATAATTAGGCACAAGTCGAGCACCTACATTACACTTCTACAAGTCCTTAGTTTGAAAACGTTCCACAAAAATCACACAAACACAGTCACATTCTACAAGTGCTATGTAGGCATATCTAATAGGGTTTTAGGTCCACGTAACCAACTGTCGTCCATTTAATAAGCTTCTACTTTAAAGTCTGTGTGAACCGGAGGTTGCTGAGACTTTTATTTCAGTATGGTGACGTACTTTCAACTGAAACTGAATATTGAGTAGGGGGCAGGGCTTTTGATTGCGCATCCTTCCCTAGTTCCCTCATAGATAACAAATGTTAGAGGAGCGTGGTTAAGAATATCGCTATGCAGTTGCCGAGTTGACGTCAACAGAAGAACCTCTACTCCAAACATGGGTTGTTGCTAGATCAGATACAGTTGCGGCCGTAAGTAACCAAAAATATGTATTGTATTTTATTAATGCCTACCGCCTCCACAACTCTAAACCCAACCATCACAGTAACGTAAAAACAGTTGTTGTCCCGAGTATTCTTTATGCTATCTATTAAATTACCCAATAAATTGTATTTTTTAACGCCTACCCCCACCCTAACCCTAAACCCAACCGTCACGGTACTGTAAAAATAATAATTATTGTTATACAGTGTCATAAAAAATGCTGCTATTTTGATGTGCATAATCGCACTTCCGGCCAGCCGCATATCCGATCTAGACTTTACCCCAAACATGAAAGCAAACGGTCAGACTTTGATTTAAAATTACTAAAACAAAAACTTTTTTGTTTAGTGGATTAACTTCCAACAATTTAATTTAATTATTTACCTCAAGAATAACAATGCGAGCTAGCAAAATAAACAGTAAATTTGATTTCATGCGAACTTAAATTAAAATAGCGTTTTTTTATAAGTTCGTATCAGTAGCCCTACTCACACAGTGATACTGGTAAATATCCGGACAATTTCCAGAACGACTTTACGAATTTATTCAAATATGTGCTGTTCACACAGGTAAGGACATTAACCTGAATTTCTTAGGTAAGGACTGATCCGGGAAAGGACCATTCACACATCCACACCAAAATACCGGTAAATTCTGGCATCATTAACTAAAAACGAGTTATAATCAGCCGCGCTTGTATTAAACATAAAGGAGGTCCATCTTTTTCTTGATGGTTTCACTTTTAGAAGAGGGTAGCCAGAGGTACATATGGGTGCAATTTATCTTTGAAATGAATGCTTCAGGGTGGTATGAAGCCGTGGAAGGCTTCTGTTTTTTTTTTTTTTTTGCGCTACCAGCTGACCACATACCTTCATGTGGACGGCTTTTCTGATGTTACCAGTTTGCATGTTGGCTCACCGCGTACAAGGTGGAGCGGAGTTAACCGCGACAACGAGGTCAGAGTCTGGTGAACAATACTTTTAAAAAAAAGCAGGTAAAACAAGAATAAAATAAACAAGTAAATTCCAGGGTGAGAAGGTGGTAAGCTGTGAAAACATGGTAAAAATCAGGCGACCGTGAGGTTTTTTTTCCTGGATTGCTTTTGAAAACGCTGTAGGTTGGGTTTAGGAAAGGGGGTGGGCGGGTCAATCAGGGCTTTTGAAAACACTATCGGTTGGGTTTAGGGAAGGAAAAAAAATTACCTACTGGGATGAATTTTGCACTCTCCAGATACTTATACAGGGGTACATATCCACAATGAGCCTGGGCTGTCAGTTTGTCATCAAATCTTGACCAATCAAATGCTCTCTAGCAAAGGACATGTTCTGCCCCCTTTAAGATGCTTCTCATTTGCTTTTCATTTGATGTGCTCAACCACTCTCACTAGCCGATCTGTGAAAAAAAAGGCTATTGGCTGCTTTTTAAAAAGGGGAGGAGCTACCTACCGTCTTCATGTTTCAGTTGAAATTATGTCAAACGCTGAACAAAAATAAACATTTCAAAGCACTTCACAAGACCTTTCTGTACAAGCCTGCTTCTCTCTTACTTAGTATCAAGCCGTCCATTTTGACAAGTGATTATTACAGTTCTCAAAGCTGATTGATTGAGTAAACATTATGACTCAAATGAAGGAGGTTCTTTTCAGTATCTACTAATGGCTTCCCAAAGCCACCAAAGTGCACCATTTCCCAAATCAGTAGGCATCTTTGAAACATTGTATGAGCATTCTTACGCAGCTACTCCTGAGGGGTGAGCAGAGTATCGCTCTCCTGAGGTCCGTTTTCTTGAGGCTTGGGTTCCTCTGGTTCTGGTGCTTGCAGGTTCTCAGCCTGTGGTGGTTCTGCTTGAGCGCCTGGCTCCTCTTTGTCTTCTGCGTCAACCTCTTGTGGTCCATTTTGCTGTGGCGTTGCTTGTGTTGGTTCATGTTCTTGAGCAGTCACCTGCTCTTCAGGTTTCTCCTCAGCGACTGCAGAAGCTTCTGGAGCTTGTGTTTGTGTTTCTTGAGGAGCTTCTTCAATGTGCGTCTCTTGATTGAGTGGTGTCTCTTCTTCTTGATCCTGTTTCAGAACAGTCTGTTGCTTGAGCTGCACCTCTCCATTCTCCTGGAGAGGGATTTCTTCTTCGGCTTGCACCTGTATGACAGGCACCTCCGCATGGTCTGTTTCTTCTATGCTTTTTTCGATAGATAAAATCTGGTGCAGCTCAGGAGACATGAAAAAGGGTTTGTCGGAAGAGCCGTCATTTCTCTCCAGGTCTTCGCCTTGAGTTTGCGTTTGTATGGGATGTTTTTTTAAGTGTTAGTGTTTTAGAGCGCACGTTGCAGAAAAAAGCACAAGGACGCATGATTGGACACAATCATGTAGCAGGTAGAAAAAAAAGAGAGGGAGAGAGAGAGAAAGAGAGGAAATGGTTAGACATAAAGCAAGCCAAGTGCCCCAAAAGCATTTGTGATTTGCAGGTACGTCAACAGTGGGTGCTGGAAGTCAAAATGCCATCATTTTCTCCATACAGAAATATGCCTTCAAAACAAACCATGAGCTCTGAAGCTGAGAAACAACATGTGATAATGTAGTATAAATGTGATTTCTGATAATATAGCATAAATGTATGTTTTGTGTTGTTTATTTACAAAAGTTTAATGGTCAAATTGGAATATATGAATTAATCAACCCATGATCCTTAAGAAAGCTCAATGCTGTTTAAGTCTCTTTAAGGCAAGTCATTTCACTCAGCGACCATCTTTGAAACGCCATTTGGGCCAGTATGCTCGAGCATTCAGTTTGAATGGGGAAACATCATATTCTTCAAAATTGCTTGCCAAGCTTACAATTAAATTTTATAATAGGAATTACCAATAAAATAAAACAACAACTGTCTATTTAGTTTCATTTCTAAACAATTGAATTACGCAAAATCTGCAGAAACTCACGTCTGGTCCAAGCCTCTCCCGGAGGATCGTCAGTTTATAGCAAACGATGATTAGCTTCTGTACTAGAAGCCGGGGCTTGATTCGCTATGCTGACTGTTACACTTTTCCCTATTCAAAACTATGCAAGTGACATGTCTTGTGTACTCAACAGTCTTTGGTTTTAACCAGTTAATATACTAAACTTTGTGTTCTTATATCCCTCTTATACTGTTGATGCATGAATAAACCTCAACTAGACTATATAGCACAACTCCTGTATCTTAACTGCAAGAAGCTTTGTGCTTTGTTTCTTTTGATATGAAACTTTTTATATGCTTTATATGATCTGTTTGTGTTGTCTTAATTATTCAATGTATGTTTAGATATATCTGTCATGATAACAAGCAATGAAACTAAGTGTGTAAATGAAAATATTTTCACAATGAATTGGAGTACATTAAATTAAAGGTGTGCATTTATGTAAAAGCTACCTTATTAGTTTTTTACATTGGAATTTGCATACTTTTATATTGTAAGAGTTGGTTATTATATCTAAAAATAAATAATAACTGTATCCAGTAGTTCAGTCTCTATTAATAGTAATAATAATAATTCCTTACATTTATACAATGCTTTTCTCGACTCTCAAAGTGCTTTACACATTGGAGGGAATCTCCTTATCCACCACCAGTGTTCAGTGTCGAACTCGATAACACAACAGCAGCCATATTGCCCAGACCGCACACCACACACCAGCTGATTGGTGGAGAGGAAACAGAGTGATGAAGCCAATTATGATATATGGATGGTTAGGAGGCCATGATGGACAGAGCCCAGCGGGCAAATTTGGTCAGGATACCAGGGTTAAACCACTACTCTTTTAAGAAGGACATCCTGGAATTTTTAACGACTGCAGAGAGTAAGGACCTCGGTTTAACGTCTTATCCGAAAGATTTCGCTCACTGAGTAGTAGAGAGTCCCTTTCACTATACTGGGGCGTTAGGACCCACATAGACTGCAGGTTGAGTGCCCCCTGCTGGCCTCATCAACACCACTTTCGGCAGCAACTTAGCTTCCCAATGTGGTCTCCCATAAAGGTACTGACCAGGCGCAGCCCTGCTTTGCTTCAGTGGGCGACTATGTGAGAGCTGCAGAGAGCTAGCTGCCAGAGATTAAATAGTATTTAATAGTTATTAATAGTTTAATAGTTATTAATAGTCGCCTTTGTTATGTACTCCTATATAGTTTACAGCTTTAGCCAAAAAATATTTGTTTTATCCAAAAGAAAATTGTAAACATGAAATTTATTTAAAGACATGGAGCTACAATTTATTTCAGTAAACCATTGTTTAATAATGAAATTGTCAATGAAACAAGCTTTTAATGTTTAGTTTTGCCCTCGTTTGGCTTACAAACGTTTGTGAATGAATTCTAACATATAATTTTAAATCACTTGCAACTTTTGTAAAGCTGAATATGACCGAAAGTTAATGAAAATAAAAACACAGTTACATTTTTGGTGCACTTAATTTAGTTTTAAATTAAAGTTTGTAAATCTGGAATTAAATGTTGTGATTCACCTCAGAGCTGACCGGTTTGGTTTAAGCTTTGAAACTTTACTGAATGACATGTAAAGTAAATGTAGAGAAAATGAAGGAGGAATCTAGCAGATGGTCACTGTTCCCATTATAGGAAAGAACAACCGTTAAAAGACAAGAAAGATGGCAGTTTGAGAGCTGAAAATGTGTTTAGCTGTTGATAACGATAAAATTCAGTATCAAGAAAACTCATCAATAAAAACAGCTGCTATTCATCAGAAACCATTGCTCTGTTAAGCAACCAATACATTGAAAACTTGTTAAATGTGTTCATTATGTATTATCTTGTGAAATAATTAAAGCTGCTTTGCACTTACAGAAGCAGAGGAAGAGTGTGTCCACGCACATGGCATATACGCTAAAAAAGCCATGAGCGATCAGATAGGCTCCAAACACCACAGTCTGCAAATGAAGGGGATGTAATTATAACAGAAATGGGACTTGTCATATTGCAAATGAAGTATCTAGAATGTATTACTCACCAATATAGGCACCCAGTAGTAATTAAGAGCTGGCGTAACGTCCTGCGCTATCTTAATCTTGCCCGTGAAAAAGAAGAAGGAACAAATTCCTGCGAATAAGAGGAAGAAATTGCTAGTGTATGCATTGCTAGTTGTAGATTACAGAACCGGAATGTTAATGTCAGGTCTATCCAAATAACATCTGGATTCAAACAACATCTGTGACCAAATCACTCACCCACAATACCAACGATTAGGAGTTTGCCCAAAAATAAGAGGAAGTCAGTCACTTTGTCGAGAACTGCCACACTAGAAAACAAACAAGCAAAGAGATTTCACTTTACACTATTTATTTACAGTCACACAAGACACTGACTAATGATTTAACACTCACACTTGTGCTTACCCACATTAAAAAAAACAATATAGTTGGATAGTAAATAGTCGGTTAAAATAATAAGGTAATTTATACTAAATACTGGGCGGCACGGTGGCTCAGTGATTAGCACTGTCGCCTCACAGCAAGAAGGTCACTGGTTCGAGTCTGAGTTGATTTCTGCATGGAGTTTGCCTATTCTCCCATTGATGGTGTGGGTTTCCTCCAGGTGCTCCGGTTTACCCCACAGTCCAAACACAAGCGGTATAGGTGATTCGGGTAAGCCAGGGGTGTCAAACTCAGTTGCTGGAGGGCCGAAGCCCTGCACAGTTTAGTTCCAACCCTGCTCCAACACACTTACCTGTAAGTTTCAAACAAGCCTGAAGGACTCAATTAGTTGGATCAGGTGTGTTTAATTAGGGTTGGAACTAAACTGTGCAGAGCTGCGGCCCTTTTGGAACTGAGTTTGACACCTGTAGGGTAAACAAAATTAGCCATAGTGAATGCCGGTGTGTGTGAATGAGTGTGTATTGGTGTTTCCCAGTACTGCATTGTGGCTGGAAGGGCATCTGCTATGTAAAACATATGCTGGAATAGTTGGCGGTTCATTCCACTGTGGCGACCCCTATGAAATAAGGGACTGAGCCGAAGGAAAATGAATGAACGATCCTAAATACTACAATACTTTTGAATGATACTATGGTAAGGTGTTTTATACTATACATATATTACAGTATTTAGAATTTTTGTTAATGAATGCTTCACCATACAGTAGTTTTAACTATAGTGAACTGATAAACTTCTTAAATACTACTGCATACTTTAGTTTTTACAACAGTAAACTGTGGTGTATCGTAGTATAATAAACCCTATAGTTGTAGGAAACTACTGTATTGGGTAATATGTTTTTATTACAGTTGTTGTGTTACCATGGAAACTATAAAATTACCCAACATATTAATTCAAGTACTCTATCATGTATCAAAAACACTGCAGTATTTTTTTATGTGGGTGGGTTGTCTTGGATAAACAGCTCCAGATCAAAAAACATAAATAAAACATTAATCTTAGCGTTCACCCTGTCAACTGTATTGGGCAACATTGTTACAATAATAAATAAGAAAAGGTTGTTAAAGAATTGTTTTCTTTTATTGCTTCATCTTGTGACATCATGACATGTTTTTGCTTCGATTATTGATTATGGTTTGTGCTACATTCATATTTCACTCAAACTGCATCAGAGTGTGTTTGACAGCAGAATGAGTGCCATATTTTCCCATCACTTTTTGATGATTTTTGAGGTACCTATAATCAAGTCAATCTTATCAAATGTGAACGTACCCTTAAATTTAATTCACACTCACCGGACTATGTTCCTCATTAGGAGGAAAAATGCATCCCTGGCAGATGTGCAGAAATTTTTGCCGTAAATTGCCACCTGAAAAGACCAGTAAGTTACTTGACTGTAAATAATTTCAGTATAGAATAGCAACACAGGTTCATTGGAAATATGTGGCTCAGCCTACAGTTGTGCAAAATGTATTTTATTGCAGATTTCAGATGACAAATCCACTAAAGGGTGAATTGCAAATTGCAAATCTGAAATACGTTAAATAGGGGATGCTTTGTTGTACATTTCAGAAACACATCCTTCTTGTACACAGTCATGAATAGGTGGTGCTTGTCGTACAGATAATTTAGTGAACCACTGACCTAATCCCTTTCTTAAACCCAACCTATAGTGTTTTTAAAAGCGACAGTAAGAGAAAAGTTCACTGCGACTATGTAGTTTTACTTTGATTTTACATTGCTTTGATCTGTTTGGTGGAACTATGCTTCACTGGATTCAACCCCGAGCACTCACAACACCTTACAAGGTGAGCTACTGAGCAAACTGACCACAACTAAAAAGTTGTCCATATGGAGATAGAGAGGTGAGGTAAACATATTCAAATAAAATCATAGACACTGTTAAGTTGTTTTGAGTTATTTATTCAGTGTTGTGCAAAGAACTACATGTAAATAATCCTTTATTTGTCGATATTATGTCCCTTTATATATCATTAATGTGAAAAGGAACAAAAGATGTTGGCGAAACACTGCTCGGTAGTGTTCATTTTACCTATAAACTGCAGTTAAACATATGTTGAAGTATGTTTTTGTGGTTTCACAAAAAAATTGTAGGCTAAAGCACGTATTTCAAATAAACCTGTGTTAATGAAATATTGTTATCAAGCACTATAACATGCACTACTGATGCTCCCTAGCCAGAAACAAAGCCCAGGAGTTCAAACATTATCAAGATGGGAATAAAAATGTACCATGATGTAGGCGTTCCTGTTTATAAACTTGATGAATTTCTCCAGACACCAGAAGCAGCACTTCAGGCAGCTCAGCAGGAATTTAGCAAATTTATTCTGGGCACCTGAGAGAAGCAAATGACACAATCAAGACTCAGATTCATATAAAAGACAATGGGTCTGTTCTCTAATCACATCCCACACATATTTCTTGAGACTTTTTTTGGCCGGTGGAAAAGTGGGACAGAATCAAGCTGTCTGAGCACATTATTTCTATAGATTTTAATAATAACTTTACTTATAGTATCTAATATATAGTTTAAAATGGTGACTTTCATGTAAAACACATAAAAAATAGCTATTTTCTATACATTAAAATGATGAAATGGCCATTGACTGCCAAGCACCAAAACACAGTTTCTTTAAGTTTTATGAAACTAATGTATTTGATGGGTTGCGGCTAAAAGGGCATCAGTAGCGTAAAAACGTGCCGGATAAGTTGGCGGTTCATTCTGCTGTGGTGACCCCGGATTAAAAAACAAAAAGCCGAAAAGAAAATGAAATGAATAAATGAATAAATGACACTACAGTAGATTTAAGACTTTTTAAGACAAAAACAATGTTTGAGGACCCTTTAACCCTCTACCGCATGGTGTTGCCATCAGGCTACATGATATTTATGTTAATTTCCCTGCCACTGTTTCTTTAAAACCAATATTCAAATTTTTTGTTGGAAAGAGGAGACCTTAGAGTAGCCAATGATGTACTTTAGTTAAGTCACATGACGTGTTTTTCTGTAGCGCGATTCTTGGTGTATATGTGAGTAATTGCTGAATGCAAAATGTAAACGTTAATAAAAACAAAGGATCAAATGATGTCAGATCCACAAATAAAATCTGAAACATCACCTTCTGTAAGTTATGATCACATATTCACAACTCAATTATTTTTATCAAATTAGATCTTGTAAAACGATCAAATGTGTGTGTTACCAAATGGCAATACTGCAAGTGGAATAGTGGAAGGTGCAATATTGCAATGGGTTAGCTAGCTAGCTAGCAAGGTCAGCTGTGAACTTTTAAGTTGTAACAATAACAACATGAAAGCTAGTAGAATAATGTTCAGTAGTTGTGTGTTAATGGCATTTGCATTATGGATAAAATCTAGTTTTAATGGCAATACTACTTTTGATTAGATATGAATACAGGGAACAGTGTATTAGCGAACACCATGTTCTATGGTTACTGGTTCTTCCTGCAGATGAAAGTGAGTATGAGATGGGTTTTAGGTACCATGAGAAGGATGCAGACTGGACATTGGATAAGAGCAGTGATGGAGACAGTTCACGTAAGTTAGCTCAGAGGCAGATAAGACAGGCGTAGTATAGTATATAGTACAATATATAAACATTGTCAGCTAGTAGCTACATTATTCTGATGCATCTGGATATACCAGACTTGTTATTTATTTGTTATAATATTTACTGGAGAAAATATTTATATTTACTGTATGTTGTGTACATGATATTACAATATTAGAATTGTTTTCAATGATGTTCAGCAAAAAAATGGAATAAATGAAAGTTGCTGGAATATAAATTGTTGGAAAGTATGTATAAGGTGTCATTTATAAGTTCTGTGTTAAAGCTTATAATGCTGCAACACCAATTAAATCATTTCAAACAACAAAATTATTAATCATAAGGAAAATTCTAAAAATTCTAAAAAGTTAGATCCACTGTTGGACATTGTTGCCATATGGCAACATATCATACACTGTAAATTCTAACATGTTCAGTTTACTTAAAAAAAGTTTGGAAACCGATTGCCTTATTTTTGCAATATAAACTTACAAGGAAATCTTAAGTTAAGTTTAATTATTGCCTTGAAGTAAGAAAACTAAAACTTATAAAGTAAACTAACTGTTAAAAATTAAGTAAGTTTAATAGAAAATTCTAGTTAACATACTTGTCATTATTTAGTAATCTTACTTAGGGTTTTATAGTAAGATTACTTTAATAACTCTATTTAACTAATACTGTTCTACCATGTTCAGTTAACATCTTGAATGCTAGTAGTCTCAACATTGTTTTAATCCACCATTTTAAGTAATGTCAACTAAAGAAACTACGTGCAATCGGTTTCCACATTTTCTTCAATTAAACTGAACATAAAATATGTAGTTCAACCTACAAGTAATGACATTATACAGGTCTTAAATGTAAACATTTTATTTGACAAAATTAGCAGAATTTCACAATACACTTGTGATATTTTAGTATCACAATACACTTGTACACAATACAGTTTTGTAAAAACCTGTTGTAAAGTGCTGTAATATACTGTAAACAGCAATACAGACAAAAAATATAATAAACATGTTCAACCCTAAAACACAAGTTTTCGAAAAGGTTTGAAAATCTATCAAAAAAACTTTAAATACTTGACACTTGGAAAAAAGATACTTGAATTAGTGTAATTAAACATGCCATTGCACCAGCACCTTAAACATGGCAGCATAGACACTCACAGAGGAACAGATATTAAGCTTTAAAGCTAATTTGTTAGACTGTGTAGTTTAGATTTTCCTACAGAAAATATCACATTAGTGTGGTCAAAAGTATTGAGTTTGGTATCAATCAATACTGAAATATTAAAAATATCCATTTTCCACCAGCATTTGAGTGCTACTGAGCTCGTTCTTAAACACCATTGATTGGCCACTGTGTTCACATGCTCAACAGAAATGACTGTGATTGGCTGTGACTGTCATAGGTTTACCATTTTTCACTGAGTCCAAACAAAGTTACACAGACACTGAAGTGTTTCAAAGCCATGTCGATAGCTGATTTGTTTAGAAGCTAACATATAAGCTATCTGGTGATGAATCGACTGATCGACAGTGCTTTGAAGTTATCCAGTGTCTTTGTATCTTTGCACCTGGTGAACAGTGGTGAAGTGTGGTAAAAATAATGACCTTCAAAGCCAATCAGTCATATCTACTGAGCATGTGAACACAATGGCCAATCAGTTCTTGCAATGTTAGTGGGAAATGGATGGACTTTTTTTTTTTTTTTTCAGTACCGATTGGTACCAAACTCAATACTTTTGACAACCCTATAAATCACAATACACTTTTTTGGTAAAAAAAAAGAAAAAGTGTTTTAAACACCAAAATGCTGCAGTCCTAAATGTAACACTGCAAACAGCAACATGTTAAAAAGCAACACTTTGTAATTAAACATGCCATTATACCTGAACCTTTAAACATAAAGCACAGCAGTATATAGGCGCTCGCCGAATAAAACACATTACGCTTCCCTCCCAGCAAAAGCAACACACGTTGAACAAATTCAAATGCATTGCTCAAAGTCTTTGGGTAGTCCGAATTCAGTGTGTAAATCAAAGCAAAAAAAGAGACATACTGCATGTGCAAAGTCCATAACCACTTTTCCTTCCAGTATAAAGGCCCACATTGCATCCATAATGAGGTTCTTTAGACATCTTCACACACGACAGTCAGCAGGCCAACATCTTCTTCACTGAAGTCCGACTCTACAATTACATCCTATGAATAGAGAAAGAAAAATAAGTAAAGTTTGATATTCTAAATGGCACTAATAAAGCCTGTAGTGGTACTGCTTCTACTAGGCTTGTCATGATAGTGGAATTTATTACCAATCCATATAGTAATTTTAAAAACATCCATTTCCTGCTAACATTTGAGCATAGTTGAGTGTCATTTCTGTTAAGCATGTGAACAGAATGGCAAAACAGTGCTGTTTAAAAATGTGCTCAAAAGTGCTTAAAATGTTAGCAGGAAATTTGCTGCTTAAAATTGCAGCAGAGATTGGTACTAAATTCCAGTATCTTGAACATGATACTATTCTAAAGGAACAATAAATTTTTTTAATTAAAGAAACACTGTAATGTAATAAAAAAAACTGCAGTAAAAGTATTTTTAAAACATTTTCAAGAAATTAAATGCAAATGTGTGAGAGACCAATTAGTGCTACATAATCAATATAAATATTTTGTAGGGAAAACTTAATAAATTGGGAACCGATTCATGAATGCATTTGGTTTTGCTAGATTAAAGCAGTGAGTCAAGTTTGCATTATTTAGCACACTTTTTAAAAATGTATTAATAACTATTTTTTAATAAGAAAATTGATGTTTTAGTATGGCTTTTAGAACAAGGGTGCAGCCATCTACAATCCCACAGCAGGTGACTTCACAGGGTCGGTTATAATACGGAGCATCTTTGACTTTGTGGCTTTTAACACTATCTTTTTACATCTTAATCCAGCAGGTTCTTTCAACTGAAATTATATTCCTCTCAACATATTACATAGGTATTACACTTATTAAGATTTTTTTTCAAGCTAATCTTCCTCCTTTTCAAAACAAAAGTGTTTAAAAATTAAAGAAATGCATTCATTACTTCACTGGCCTATGAAGCTAACTGACCCTGTGACGGCACAAGCTGCTGTATTTGCAACATAGCAATGCTCTTGCTCCAAAGGCCATAATATAACATCCCTCTTACTTTCAAATACTTACATTAAATGCATTTGTTTTATTTTTATAAAATTGAAAATTTTATTAATAAGTGAAGTAAACTGGAATGACTGCTTCATTTCCAGTCTAAGAAAGCAGAAACAATAATACTACTTACAAAACACATCCTGAAAATTTCTTTAGACTCATCCCTCTAAAGGACTGAAAGACCCCGGAGAACTGCTGCCAGATGACCTTGAAAAAGTAAAGACAGGTAGACATGCATTATAGCCCAATGAAAACATCAAATGCAATTTATTGCAATCAAATGCAAATTATGATTCAAAGATGATGTCACAAAAATACCTTTGAATTAACATGTTGAAAATTTCTTCTAGTTTTCTTCTGCAATTTTCTCCTCTTTTTTTTTTTTTATTTCAATCAAACGAGCAGTGTGTGTCCAATGCAGCGTAGAACTTGGATCTCACATTTCTTCCTGATATTCGATTGAATTCTGCAAAGATCCAATCAAAACATTATTAGTCATTAATAACATTCAAAAACACAAATTCACAAAATCACACAAAGTTTTGAAAAGAAAACAAACCTTCTGCAGCACTTGCATCAGCTGGTGTTTCCTCTATGACTTCCTTCTGGATGTCACTGTTGTGCACAAAAACGTAAAGTGTTATTGACATGGCTAAGCGAAATTCTAAAACAAAAAACAGAAATCAGAAACACATGCAATGATACAATGCAATGCCATTTAACAACAGATGTTACACTTTAACATGACATAGTTAAATGTTCTTGAATAATAAAAGCTGCCAAATACTCCCGGCGCCTGTCATCAAAAGCATGAGCTATACTTGTCACCAAACAGTAATAAACACAACCATCGATTAAATATAATCATGGCATTGTTGCTGGTGTGCCTTACTTTTATGCGCATTAAAAGTGGAATAAATATTTGTCTCAATTGATGTCTTTAAAAGGACACTGAACTTTCTGACTAGGGTTGCACGGTTTACCGGTACTATGGTAGTATCGTGATACTATGGCTCCAAGATACTGGCGGTGCCACTGTAGTTTGTAAACGGTAGTATTGTCATTAACAGTCTGCCTACAATACATAATGCTGCATGTGAAAAAGTCACTAAAATACTTACACGATTCAGCAACAATAGATCATTGTATTTTAATAGTCTATGGAGCCTTCTAAGGTTGTAAAACTGTAGAATTTGCGCCTTTTATAGTAGCCTATTGCATATTTTGTGATGGTTCATTTTGAATCGGAATTCGTTTATTTCTGTTCCTGTCAATATGATATAATAGCTACAACAACCTTGACAATCTATTAAAAAGAATGACTCATAAAGTGAAATTTTGAATTACTTTGGATTCTTATCCGATAATAAGTGTGAAAAAAGTATGATAGATGAAAAACCCAAAATAGCAACAGGAAACAATTTTTGACCACTTCATATAGCCTAGGTTTGTTGGAAAAATGCTCTTTTCTTTATGTATCTTTATTTTAATGTATTTTTTTTGCTGGAATGAATACATTTTAGGTGAAGAGATGTGCAAATACTTTTTTCAACAATAAGGGAATTATTTAAATTCAAGTAGGCCTATAATAACATATACAATATATTATTTCTGACAGTTTTCTTTATTTCATGGATTTAAGTTATGAATTACAGTATTGCAATACTACTTGGTATCACCATACTTCAGCTGGTATAGTATTGTAACATAAATTAATGGTATCACAACACAACAACCCTATTTCTAACTAGTCCTCAGATGATTATTCAAATGGACAAAATATTCGGACTATTCTTGATCATGCAGTTCTTTGCTGAGAATTTTGTTAAATGTACTTTTAATGCATTAAACGATTTAAAATTACCCTGACACTCAGTATGGAGACAAGGTAACGTTAATAGAACAATTCATGAATATGTTCTATGGCTTGTGCGGTATTGTTCAAAAAGTTTTCTTTGATGTGTAAGTGCAAAACTTACATTTCCACTGCATATCAGCTCACAAACTGGTAGTCTGAAATAAAAAAATAAATAAAGGGTATAATGATATTACAAACCAAATATGCCACTCACAATACTCTAATGGTGTGCTACATTTTAAACAACCTTGTAATTGTTCAAATTTATTTGCCCTAAATTGTTAAAAATTAGTGAAACCTCCTTTAAAAATGCAAACTAACAGGTTTGGCAAAGCCTGTTTCTTTACAGAAAGTTTGCTTATAACAAAGGCTTGTTGATGCCTTTGTGTGATATTGAGCAAACAAAGGGATGTTTCTGTGCTTGGTTGTACGAGTTATACCACTTCATCATTAACGTTATCCATCACACATATTCAGTCGCGTCTGGTCAGATTTATTTGTCATTACAGCAATACAAAACACTCAATCACGTAACGGCAACACTGGAATAAACCTTCAAAACGGCATAAAGAAAAGACAAATAGCATATAAAACAAATAAATGAGTTAATTAAATATCTCTCGCATTTTCATAAGTTTAACTTTAAGTTTCATAGGGATTGTTAGCATAAGCACACTTTAGCATCATGTGTAAATATGTATCTGCCTCATACAGTGACACGAATCGTAATCCCATCGAAATCCTAAATTACCTACGACACTCACGGGTCCATTTTGAGCTGAAACTGCTTTATAATGTTCTAAAAGCCTCGGCGGGTTAAAACTGCTGCTGCCCCGGCGATCATGAAGAAAAAAACGACTGGTCTGGTCATGAGCCGCTCGCTGACGCCGGACCGAATCACAGCTGATCTCCTCACCTGCTTCCTGCAGGTGATCTCATAAAAGTAAATCTTAAAAAAAAAAAAACACGCATATTTTCGTCACAACAAGCGCCACTAAAGTTCAGCGATAACTAACGTTACTGTATTTGTAATGCGGATAAATAGGTTTCGTTTTCTTTTTTAAAAATGTAGACCTACAGCTATGTGTTAACTTTACATCTAATTGAACGGATCATTGCGCGCGCTCTTGCTCTCTCAGTGCATCATTTAAAATGGCGCGGCCCGCTCTTTTAGAGCATAACGCCCACTTTACAAACTACTACTAACTTTACAAATTATTAATAGTTATTAAAAAGGACTAAGCAGCTAAAAATAGCTTATCTAGTAAAGTAGACAGTATTGCAAATAACGTGCAGTGGTCAAAACGTTTAGTCACAACATCATGGGCTATTAATTAGTTCAAAAAACAGCAAACAATTTCACAAAGTGCAGGAAATAAACAGATTACTGATACTATACAAATAAAATCAAAGTAGTAATTAAAACGAAAAGTTTACCTTGATTTACAGCAGTACATCTTCTCAATATGAAATCCTGTCCTTCAATGGCGGTGCTGGGTGGCGGTTGGTTGTGACTCGGGATGGGGGATGGGAAATCACCACCCAGTACGCATGCGTAACAGCATGGCTTAGCCCTTATAAGCAATTTTACTCAAATTACATTAGTTATGGGAACTTTATACCTTACTATGTCAGCAACACTAATGCATTTCTAGTAAACTCAACAATTAGCTTAAAATTAAGTAAACACACTAGAATTTTGATAGTAAGGAATACTATTCGCATTTACAGTGTATCAAGAATTTTTCCATTATTTTTTCCATTACTTTAAATTAAGCCAATTTAAGAAAAGAAAAACAGTCAAATATATAATTTTTTTATAGATGTATCATAATGCGTGCAGTAGAGGACTAAGATAAACAAAGGGAAAACAATAGATTAAAAGTATTGGTCTCACTTTATATTAAGTGTCCCTAACTACTATGTACTTACATCAAAAAATAAATACAACGTACTTACTGTGCTTATAATGTATTTGAGAACACTTGTGGTGCTTTTGAGTTGGGATAGAGGTTGGGTTATGGACAGGTTTGGTGGCATGGGTAGGTTTAAGGGTGGGTTAAGGTGTAAGGGATGGTCAACAGTGTATTTACAAATGTAATTACAAAAGTTAATTACAGATGTAATTACATACATGTATTTAATCAAGCATAAGTACACAGTAAACACATGTATTTACACAATAAGTACATTATAACAAACTATTAATTCCTAAGTACATATTAGTTAAGGCCACTTAATTTAAAGTGGGACCAAAGTATGAAACATTAATTTATAGGCAGAAAAGTCAAAGTTTTTAAAAAATTACTTAAAAAATGATCACATTGAAAAAAAATAATAATAATTTCCAAGCACAAATGTCTAAAAGATTATTAAATCAAGATACACACATGACATATTATTATTATATATTGTCTTATTAGCTAATGATCCTTCAAAAACAATCACAAAAAATGAAATAAAAATCTTTCATTGAGCTTTTATGATCCTGCTAAATACTATATAAACTTTCCTTTTTTAATCTTCAATACACCAAAACTTTGTACTAAGAAAAAAAGTGTATGTTTCCTATTAAAAACATGTTTTTCTAATACAAAACAAGTCTGTCTAGTCTTCATATACAGTCTCTGAAACCTAATTATAGAAAAAACACTAAAACACTGAGACCTTTAAGCTTCTGATCCAGATACTCCAGTACGACCCTGATGACTTGAACGATAGCAAGAATGAGGGAGCCAAACGCCAGAGTGCCAGTGTGATACCTGCAAAATAAGTGGCCAATATACATCATCAAATTCCACATATACGTTAAAATAAAAGCTGAAAACGTTTTTTTTAATTCACACACCTGAGGGCTCGTCCTAAAGAGTTGAAGATAGGGAAAGCAGGCATGTCGTCGGGCTTTTTGAACGCCCAGTAATAAGAGGCAAAGGCCCCCGCCAGTGTGACCTGACCCAGCGCTATCACAAAATTCACGCACCAGAAGAAGAGGAACAAATTGTAGAACTGGAAGACAATCAGCCACTTGTGGTATAACGTCTCTCCTCCATAAAACGCAAACAGACACTCGGCATCAGGACATTCAGTGGTGACGTTTGAGGTGTTGAAAGTCTGAGGAGGGAATCAAATCAATGCAACATTATCTAAAAAAATACTGCAAATGCATCCTGCGTATTGCTGCTCATTTACTTTTCATCAAACCTGACACAATGGACACTAGTCTGTATTTGTGGTAAGCAAAGCATGGTTGTGCTATGCATAGCAAACGCTGCCGGTGTGAAACCAAAACAAATGCATGCTACTTCTGCTCTATATACACACTGCTTCTGCACTAAATCAGGCGTAAGTGTGAGACTGTATCTTAAGAAGGTTTTCCTTTTCCTGTTTTGAACAGTGTTATTGTAACATCCCGGTGTCTGTTTCTGTGCGTTTCAGTTCTGCGTTTTTATTTTACTTCCTGCTCACCGTAGTTTACCCCTAATCTTGTTAGCCTGAGTTAATTGTCTCCACCCTCTTGTCAGCTTGTTTAGTTGATTGTTTCCTTGTGTATTTATACCCTGTCCTGTTAGCACTTCGGGGTCATTAGTTTTCGTCACTCCTATGATGTCTGCGTTTCTCTTTTGCTTTGCTTTGTTTTAGTTTGTTTAAATAAATGTTTTGTTTGGCTGCATCTGGATCCGGACCTTTAATTATTCCTTCCTTTACGCCAGACGTGACAGTTATGTTTATTAAAACACTTAAAAAAAGACATCCAAATACAACTGAAGGCAAACTACAGTATTATTAGTCCCTGTAAAAGTAATTTTTTAATAAAGCAAGGAAATTTACACAGTATTTTTTTTTCTTCTGAATAAAGTTTTTTTTTTTTAGTTTGGTTGGAATAAAAGCAGTGTTTTTTTTATTTTTTTTATTTATGTTTTACAATTTTTTAAATATTTTTTAAGGTTAAAATTATGAAGGAATTATTTTATTCTTTCCCTACAAAAGAAACCACTGTTGTTCAATGACTTATCTAATTAAACTTATCATCATGGTTAACCTAGTTAAGCTTTTAAATTGTGCTTTAAACTGAATACTAGTATCCTGCAGAATAACTAGTCAAATACATGCACTGCCTTCATGCAAAAACCAAACTTAAAAGATGGGATTTATTAAAATAAGAGTTATTAAAACTATTATGTTTAAAAATGTTGAAAAAATATTCCCTCTATTAAACAACACTTGGTTTTTTTATTATTATTAATAATTTTCGACTGTATTTAATTTGTCAGAGACATTTTATTTCATAACTTATTAAGAGATGTGAATTTTCAGCAGTCATAACTATGGTCTTTAGTGTCACATATTTTATCAGAAATCCTAATATCATATAGTGCTCAAAAACATTTCCTATTATCAATGGAGAAAATGTTTGTCCTGCTTAATTTTGTTTTTGTGAAAACCATGTTAATATTATTATTTTTAGAATGGTTTGATTAACAGAAATAGCTTAAAATGAATTACTTTTTATGGTATCCATTGATTATATATATTTTCTTTCCTCAAGTGGATGTCAATGATTACCACCAATAACTGTTGGCATCAGTTACCATTTTTCTCACTTTTGTCTTCATTCATTCATTCATTTTCCTTTGGCTTAGTCCATTAATTATCAGGGGTCGCCACAGCGTAATGAACCGACAACTATTCCAGCATATGTTTTATGCAGCGGATGCCCTTCCAGCTGCAACACAGTACTTGGAAAGCCACCATACTGCCTCACTTTTTCCTTAGTACATTTTTTTTTCTTTTGAGTTTAGAAAATCAGAAGTTAATCAGGTTTCAACTATATATATATATATATATATATAGTTGAAGTCAGAATTATTAGCCCCCGTTTATTTTTTTCCCCAATTTCTATTAAACGGAGAAAATATTTTTTTCAACACATTTCTAAACATAATAGTTTTTAATAGCTCATCTCTAATAACTGATTTATTTTATCTTTGCCATGATGACAGTAAATAATATTTTACTAGATATTTTTAAGATACTTTTAAGTTTAAATTTTTACTTTTAAGTTTGTTCAGTTTGTTCAGAAGGAAATTCTACAAAATGCTTATTATTTGAAAATAAACATATATACATAGAGTTGAAGTCAGAATTATTAGCCCCCTTTGAATTTTTTTTCTTTTTTAAATATTTCCCAAATGATGTTTAACAGAGCAAGAAAATTTTCACAGTATGTCTGATAATATTTTTTCTGCTGGAGAAAGTCTTATTTGTTTTATTTTGGCTGTAATAAAAGCAGTTTTTAATTTTTTAATAAACATTTTAAGGTAAACAATTATTAGCCCTCTTAAGCTATATTTTTTCGATAGTCTACAGAACAAACCATCATTATACAATAACTTGCCTAATTACCCTAACCTGCCTAGTTAACCTAGTTAGTTCCTTTAAATGTCACTTTAAGCTGTATAGAAGTGTCTTAAAAATATCTAGTAAAATATTATTTACTGTCATCATGGCAAAGATAAAATAAATCAGTTATTAGAGATGAGTTATTAAAACTATTATGTTTAGAAATGTGTTGAAAAAAAAATCTTCTCTCCGTTAAACAGAAATTGGGGGAAAATAAATAAACGGGGGCTAATAATTCTGACTTCAACTATATATATATATATATATAAACATAAATTTATCATTTTAAAATCATATTCTGAAATGCTTCATTTATGTTAGGAGCGACAAACATTCAACCAACACAATAGTAATAAAGCATAATAAAGTACTAACCGCAGGATTACAGGTGGCCCTGGAATATGAACAATTGCTTGTATTGAAAACCTTGTATATTGGCTCATTGGAGGTGGACAAAAACCTGCATCGAAGTCAAGGAGATTACATCTGCATGGAAACAATGTTACCTTACATTACCAAGATTACTAACAATATAGCATTTTTGTAGTAAGTAATCAAATAAATCCATTATGCCTGTGTCTATTTGTGTAATGTGTATTATGTGTAATGGCATCATTTCTGGCATCATTGTGACTTTTGTAGGATACACAGCGGTGATGGCCCAGTATGCGATGACCAATGACATCAGGGCGTAGGTCAGCAGTGGGTAGAACAGCGATGACATCACATGACCGATGGCCCTGAAAAATAGATGGGATCATTAGGGCTTCCTGTCTAACACTCCTCCTAGTTAACCTAATTATTATTTCATGACTTTAAGCCTCTGTTAATCCATCACACCCGAGGAAAACGCTGCTAAAGTACTAATGCTATTAGAGAGTATCTAAAGAAAGCAGTGATATGGAACATGAGACCAAACAATGTCAGCAACACATCTGAAAACATGGTTTGTTCTACTGTTAAAAAGATTTCTGGAGGTTTTATCAAGATATTTTAAGACCTTTCTGTGAATTAAATTTCAGACTTATACAGGTCTTGTATGTTTCGGTTGGGCCAGCAAAAAAGATTCTTACTTGTCTCATTAAAAAATATATATTATTTTGTTATTTCTTAGCTACATATTTTAAATAACTTCAGACCAAGCAAGTTGTATGCAAGCACCTTTTTCAACATAATGTTTCTTTCTTAATTGACAAGTTTTAAAAACTATAATAAAGTAAATTCATGCACAACAGTCTGTCCAGGTCAGAGTCCCCACCAGGTAGCTATAAATACTTGGAGAACTTTGAAACAAATGTTATTGTAAGGAAAATAATTACTTTATATTGATAAATAGAGTTAAAAATGTAACTTTCGTTAAAATGTCTATTGAGACAAAAGATATGGTGATAGATTACAGGAAGGCTTCTCCAACCAGAACATAACTAATATTAAAGGCTTGGACATTGAAATTGTTGACACGCATAAATATATAGGGGTTGTTATTGATAATATGTTGACATTTCAACCTAACACCCAGGCTGTATATAAAAAGTCCAACAAAGACTGAGGAAACTTAGATCATTTCAGGTCTGTACCTCGATGATGACGCTGTTTTATAAACAATTTATCGAATCTGTTTTATCTTTTTGCATTGTAGCTTGGTACGGCAATCTGAGTGTGTCAAGCAAGAACAGGTTGAGCAGCCTGGTGAAGGTGGCAGGCAAGATCATTGGTTTTAATCAGACTGGTCTAATGGTAATCTACCATAATTATGTTCTAATGAGAGCTCAGGGTATCCTATGCACCACGGATCACCCACTGTACTCTGTATTTCAGCTGTTGCCATCAGGACGTCGTTTTAGGGTTCCTATTTGCAGGACAAATAGAACCAGAAATTCTTTTATAATGGTGGCCATTAGGTCATTAATTGAGTCCAGGGGGGAGGGGGATGTTTCTATATACTGATGTATGGATGTTGTGTTGTAATATATATATACATATTTTTTTAATGTGTACATGGAACTTCGCCTGTGTTATGGTATCTTGTTGCAATTTTAGTTTCCCTAACGGGATAATAAAGCTGAGTCTAAGTCTGAGTCTGAGATGTCTTGTTGATGATTGTATGGGTGTTAGCCCGTCTGGGTAACTTACATGGACAAAAATTAAGACCTATTTAAAATTAAGGGGATTTAATTACAAGATGCAAGTCTCTGATGTCCCTAGAGTGTGTATGTAAAGTGTCAACTCAAAATAAAACACAAATACTGTTTTATAACTCTTTAAAACTGCCCAGTTTGGGCATTGATCCTAATTGTGCCTTTTCGGCGTCTGTTGCATTAAATTCAAATAAGATTTTGCTCTTTTAAAAAGAGGGCGGAGCTACAAATGCCTGTATATCAGCATAGTGGCAGATTCAAAAACTAAACTAACGTCTTATGCTAATGAGTGAGAGATTGTCAATAATGGGTGGGGCTTTCCCCCCTCTGATGACATGTACAAAGGGTAAATGTCAATCAAAGTGTTTCTGCAAAAGAAGTATGATTACAAACAATAAAATTAATACATTTTTACCATTAGAAGCTGGTTATATTCACACACTGTTGCTACACAACTGTGTTTAACGCATTTATAAAAGTGATTTTTACATAATAGGTCCCCTTTAAGAGCTTTAACACTGGTTGCGTCCAAAATCGCCTATTACTCAGGGGGTTCTGCATTTGTATTTAAATGTACTATTCAGCCATTAGAAAAGTACGTTCTATACAGTATGAATGTGCGCAGTATGACTGGAACTCGAATGTAATACATCTGCCATTTTGTCATGATCACGTGACCTAGCCTCGTCAATTTTGTTGCTTCACTCCCATTTATGAGATGAAGTTTATTTATAAACTAATTTCAAGAGGATCACATGCTTATTATGATGGAACACAGCTGGTCATGCATTAGCCAATTCATGATTCACCAATCAGATTCCTAAGCCACTATTAATACCCTCAGTTCTACATCACTGCCATCTTCGCTTTAAAGAATCCCCCCTTCCGCCCCTACTCCACCTCCTTTACTAGATGGGTGGCTCAGTGGTTAGCACTGTTGCCTCACAGCAAAAACGTCACTGGTTCTAGTCCTTACCAAACCAGCCGACGTTTCTGTGCAGAGTTAACACATTCTCCTCGTGCTCATGTGGGTTTCTCCCAGTTCCCCTGGTTTCCTCCCACCGTCCAAAACATGCAACTTAAGTTAATTGACTAATCTAAATCAGCCCCATAGACGTGCTCCTAGTAAGTAGTTATCTCTTAAGAGCAATAACTATCTATTCATTAGCTACTAAAGAGGGGGAGTTTTGAGATCTACTTGAGCTCAAACTCTTCTCGCGCCCTGCAACGGGAGGGAGCCCTGGGCTCGAGGATCTTTTGAGCTCAGGGCTCTCTCCCGGGACAGCATGTCAAACACACTTTATAATCAATCATCAGATAAGTGTGAACTCTTGAATTCTCTCGTATGGTATCATGGGATAGTGTAACGTGCATCGGATGCACACTTCTGAATCTCGCCAGAAGCAGTAAGTAGTCTTGGTATTTCTCGCATACTGTTTTTCGAATTCTATGAATTCGGACCTACTACTTGGCTCGCATTCGGACATACTACTTGGCTCGCATACTGTTTTAGCATACTATATAGTATGGAAGTATGCAATTTCGGATGCAGATTAATGTTCCAGTAAATGTATGACATTTTAAGGCCTAATTTTCAAAACACACTTAAGACATTCAATAGATTCAAAGACATAATTGACACCCTGTGTAAGAAGGTAAATGTAGACTGACTTGCTGGCCTCTTTGATGAGAGCAATAGCGATGAGGAGCCTCTTCCTGAGGAAGATTAGGAGGAGGAGGATCACCGCTTCCACAATACACAGGATTATCACTGTGTGGAGATAAATGTGATGAAAAATAAACATGACAAAAAGAAACCAGATACACATTATGGCTCATTTAAATGTCATGACTACATTAAAATGACATAAATTAATACTTCAGGAAAACTTTTAATCTAAAGGGATAGGTCACCCAAAAATGAAAGTTCTGTCATTTTTTCCTCATCCTCTAATTCTTTCTTCTGTTGAAGATAAGAAGAGAATTTGAAGAATGTTGAAATCAGCAGTCATTGACTTCCATATTATTTTTTGTTCCTGAAATGAATGTCACTGGCTACTTTTTTCCCTGACATATTTTTTTGTGTTTAACAGAAGGTTTCAGAATACTCAAGTGTGAGTATTGGTGAGAAAATTTTCACTTTTGTGTGAACTTTCCCTTAAACCTTTTAATAGGTCAAAGAATAGACATCTTATTTTTGATATTCACATCAAATTAAATTCACAAAAATTATTTTATATATAGGAAACAGTAGTTAGAACTAAAGTGTTTCAAAAAGAAAAGAAAATATGGATGAAACTGTAAGGACTTTGGTCCCTGTTATTCCTCCCAGACTCCATTTCCCACAGCCATCTGCCACAATCACACACCTGTCTCCAATCAGTCAGACTATTTAAGCTGCACTCAAACACACAAGGTGAAGTATTGCTTAGCTGTGTCCTTGTTTTCATTGTCTTGTCTTGCATTGCATGTGTTTTTACCCTTGAACTATTTCCTTGTTTTTGATTAATTGACGTCTGCCCTGACCCTAAAAAAGACTCTTTATCCTTTCCCTGAATTTAGTTGTTTGCTGATGTTCAAAAGAGCTTGTCTTATTCAAGCTTGTGCTAAATAAAGCAGCCCTTGAATCTTACCTCAGCCTATAATACAGAAATATCGTTCCATTATTGAAAATTGTTATAATATTTTGAAATAATGATTAAATTAAGGTAAAGACGACAATTAAAAACATACCAACCCCAAACAGTATTTTTTATCTTTGTAAATATTTGTAAATATTGGCATAGGGAATTTATTAATTTCTTAATACTCACTGAAGGCAAGCCAGGTCTGCTGAATCTGTAAATACACAGAGAAGTCCGTCTGCAGACCCAGATCCTTGATAGTGACATCAGAACCAGCCTGTCCTTTCAGGCTTGCGTACTGCATGTAGCAATGGAAAATACCTGGAAAAAAAGACCAAGGAGAAGAGAAAATACAGGAGTGAAAATCGAATGGAAATCATTATTAAATGTTCTGACGCATTAAAATACACTCACTGTTCACCTCATTACACCTGTTTAATTCAAAATATTTGATCACATGGCTGTTATTCAATGCATTTTACCATGTAGATGTAGTCGAGACAACCAGAACAAAGAAGAAATCTTGTTTAAAAGGCTATACAAACACCATAAACAATCATTATTCTCCAGGTTAGTGGAGAGTCTTTGCACCAGGCGAAGGTGTTCCAGTTTCTTGTTTTTTTTCCATGTATCAGGGAAAAATGAGATTAAGTTTCAGTCATGACTGAAAGGACAAGATCTCAGATACAAGCAGCTGAAATGATTTTCCTTTGCAGGGTTGAAGCGCGCACCCCCTCAGAGATCAGATGAGAAGCCTTGTCACCCAGAAGGAGGCCCTGGGGAAGACCCAACTAGGACTATGTCTCACGGCTTAAAACGGTGTGGTCGGAGCAGTCCGACTTGGTCGGAGCCAGCTCCGATTGGGCAGGTCAACTCCAAGTGGGACTTGAGCTCCTATTGGGCTGTCCGAACCTCCTGTCTCCTACATGACTAGGAGTGCAAACTATTGTGTTTTACCAACATCTACACCTATCACAACCCTAAACTTAACCTCACAGTAACTTGTTGTGTTTTAGTAATGTCTACATCTACCACAACCCTAAACCCAACCTCACAGGAACCTTTTGTGTATTATTAATGTCTAAACCAACCACAACCTAAAACCCAACCTACTTGAGGCATAACTCCCTACCACTTGGAGCGCTCCGTGCTGCAGCGATACCAACTTGACCTCACGATCCCCCCGGATGAGCTGGAAGTCTGCGACTCCCCCATCACGGATGTGCAGCCATCAAATCAGCAGCTCGTATGCTTTTTTGTCAATATGGACAAACACTCCATTTAGTCTTCTCCTCGGTGTCAGTATAGGGTGCATAATTACGAGAGTGTGCGTCCCATTAGGTCACGTTGCAGACGTATATAACCTTGGATGCACCTGTGCTTTGTTTCAAATAGAGGAAGATGCACACTGGCATCTGGGGTACACATCAGTGCACAGTGCTCTATACTGACAATAAGTAGAATAAACTGTTGAATAAATAATATATAAATAATGTGCACAAAAGAATTCTTGTAGCTTCATAACATTCCAGTTGAACGACTGAAGACATTTGGTCTGTTTTGAGGATGTCTTTTGGTATTTTTCTGGACTTATATCTCAGGAACGTTGTTGTCAATGATGGAGCTCTCGATTTCAACTCAAATATTTTTGTGTCCTAAAGACAAACAAAGCTCTTGGGGTTTCAAAACAATATGTAGTTGAAACTTAAATACATAAATAAATAAATAAACATAAATAAAATAACTAAAATAACTAAAATTTTTGGTAAAGCTAATAATTAAAGACATTTCAGAATCAAAAGGTAGCCCAAACCAGTACTAGTACCTAATACAGTGGCCAGTGATTGTATATGTTTATTTTCTCAATTATTTCATTTAGTCAGTGTATTACTATAAATGCATATTGGTTAAGCACAACACAAGTAAACAAAGTGTTTGGTTACCAGACTAAACATTCTAGGAAACCTAATTCGATACTCGCATACAAGATCCAATACCGTACCGTATCCGATAACAATGATGACCATGATGATCATAACCCAGACCATGACTCCAGCCAGAAAACGCAGGAGGAGAATAAATATCAGACTGATCAGCATAGCGATCACCAAACCACTGGAAAAAAGACCACATAGAGAATCAATCAATGCCAGTGTGAATCATGCAGAACTCACTGGAGCTCAATAACACTAAATCTGACTGCCATAACTCAATACTGAATGTTATGTAGGAAGCTGCAGAGGGGAAATAAAATAAATCAAAAGTATTTTACACTTACAGAAGGATCCAGTGCCAGGACTGTGTGTAGTCCTCAAAGATCCTCATGGCTACTGCCCGAGCCTCAACTACTACATTGGATTTCCTGCAAAAAATTCAATATTAATGTTTGTGTTATTATAAAAATAACAATGAATGTTCAATGTTGTATTAGTTACCGTTAGTTAATTGCATTTACTAGCATGAACAAACAATGAACAATACATTTATTGTACTGTATTTATTCATCTTTGTTAACATTAGTAAATAAAGTTGTTCATTATTAGTTCATTTTAATTCACGATGCGGTAATAAATATAAATTTATTTATAATAACACATAGTAAATGTTACACTATGAATAATAAATGCTGTACATGTGTAATGGTTGTAAACTTTAGAGTATTTACGGTAATAGGGCAGGCTAGGCGAAATACGGTAAATTCCGGTCATATGCTGCTTTTATGGATGGAGCAGCAGTTGTGAGGAGGAAAGGTGGCATGCACGCCAGACAGACAACGCTGATCAGACAATAGCTGCGTCCCAAATCGCATACTTATGCACTATTCTACGCCATTTTGTAGGATAAATAGTGTAAGTAGTGTGTTCACACTGAAAACTCTAAAAATAATAAGTGCACTTTAATTACCCGGATGATGCACTCAATCAGCCGCTAAAACGAAGTGCGAAATGATGGACACTTCACGTACTCAAAGACCGCAGGTTTGCTTACGTAGCGGAAGGGGCGGAGCTATCGGGCGCACATGTTGGATAACTTTATTTATTTTGGATTGTGAAAGCAACTCTCCTACGAGAGTGATTATAGCGCCTCCCAATGGTGAATGCGGTTATACTCACGGCAGGTATTATTTGATAATTCGGCAGTTGATTTGGCAACCGTCAAACGTCATTAGGGAAACGGTTTGAATTTCTGCTTAGTAAAAAAACATTAGTGTGCCCTTTGGGACGACACTACTTACATATACTATCCTGTTCAATGTATAAGTGCAAAGTGCATGAGTGCATAGTGTATAGTGTGCCATTTGGGACGCAGCTATTGTGGACGATCTATGGAAGGTTGGGCAGCGTCAATGGTTTTTTTAAGCATGTGCATTCAGGGATACCTGCAGCAGGTGCTGCTGGGTGTTGCTAATGCTGAGTAACAGCTATAGTAGCTGTGCCCAGCAGTTGAACTATGCCACTGTTTTGAATTACTATATAAAGACTATGGAGTATTGTATATTTGCACTGTATCTAAGACTGGGGTATGCCTCAAATTAGCTTGAAAATATTGCAAGTCAGCACCTGACATAATTGTGAATATTCTGCTCACCTGCAAGTGTTTTTTGTTGTTGTTGTTAATCATTTGAGATCCCTTTTTTGTGTAATAAATAAAGGTTATTTAAGTAAAAGTCATTTTTTCTTTATTTTCTTTCTAATGAACTAGGGGTAACACATGTATTGCTTATTATTAGTTCATGTTAGTAAATACCAAGGAAGTCACTTTAATTCGTGACACCACCACTGCCACCACCTACCCATCGACCCATCCCCCCTCCCCTGCTCTTCACTTTTGTCCGCGAAACCTTCAGAATGTTGTCATAGGGCCTGTAGGCCAGCGGCGCGTCTAATAATGAAACCTTATTGTGAAGTGTCACCAATATTACACAGTTGTAAATTATATTGAGTAACACTATAATGCTGTATTATAATATTATCTAAACATAACAACAGCATAGCTTTTCAAACTTACTTCTATAGTCTTTTGCCCAATTATTTTTTTCCTCAGCAATATTATATTACATTCAAACAAACAACAACAAAAAAAAGATTCTACGAGTATCATGCATCTACATAGTTAATCTGCAGAGTTGCACAATAATGTCTACATTTAGCAAAGCAGATAAGTCTATGTCTTTAATACACTAGTATTACTCACTTTGCTGCATTAAGGAGGTCTGTTGCATTTATAACTTCTCCTTGATCGACAGTGAATTGAGTTTCGTTCCCAATCACAACCACACCGCCTTTCATTGTCTCTAGAGCAGGCAAGCATCTCCGTGTGACTGAAACACAGGGCAATCATCATTTTAAAGCAATTTAGGGATGCATCAGACGTTAAAGACAACATACCTTAAATTAGAGTAGTTCAACTGTATATGCAGCGAGGAAAATAAGTATTGAACATGTCACCATTTTTCTCAGAAAACATATTTCTAAAGGTGCTGTTGACTTGAAACTTTCGTACGTTGGTAACCACCAAATAAATCCATACAGTATATGTCAAGAAAACAAATCTAATTAGTTTACAAATTAAGTTATGCATAATAAAATGACATGACGCAGGGAAAAACTATTGAACACATGAAGAAAGGGAGGTGCAGAAAGGTAGTGAAAGCCCAGACAGCAGCTGAAATCACTCAGTAGTTATTCAGCAACCCTCTGCCCTTCCTCATTATAAATGAATATTAGCTCCTTCAGTCCAACATCTACATTATCAGGATGATAAAGATGTAACCAGGGTGGACATTTCAGCAAGACAATGATCCAAAACACAGCCAAGGAAACTCTCAAATGCTTTCAGAGAAAGAAAATCAAGCTGTAGAATGGCTCAGCCAATCACCTGACTTGAATCCAATATAAAATACAAGTTAAAGATCAGATTTGATAGACGAGACTCGCAGAACCATCAAGATTTTTACACTCTGATGAAAAAACTCACATCTGGGCAATGCATGTGACTTCATTCTCCATATGAGAGGCGTCTATAAGCTGCCATCACCAAAAAGGCCTTTTATATAAAGTATTAAATGCGTTTCAGTAGTTCAGTAATTTCTTCTTGTGTCATTTCATTGTTATTACACAACTCATTTTTCAGCTTTTTTTATTGTTTTGTTTTATTTTGATGTTTGTTTTGTTTGGGTTTTTACCAAAATCTGGTTCAATTCCATGTCAACAGGTCCTTTAAGCCTAGTTCAGACTGCGTGATTTTAGCCCCGATTTTGGCTCGCCGACAGGTTTTGAGAAATCGCCGACAAATGCCTGAAATCACAGGCAAGTCTGTGATCGTGCACGTGAGTGACAATCACACAGTATGAACAATCAAAGACGCGATCTGAGAGAATCGCAGATGAGTCGCCGATGCCTGCGAGATATTTGGCGTGCTAAATATCTGAAGCTGTCGGCGATTCAAATCATGCCGTGTAAATTGAGTTTTGACTGAAAATAACATCAGCGATCGCCTACAGCCAAAGAGAGAGCAGCATTCACTTGCGTGTGCGTGTGTATACCTGCTGCAGGCCAGCGGGAGGCTGGGGGAAAAGTTAAAAGCGCTCTTTTTCGGTTTATTTGGACCCACAAAATTGAGGAAAAACTAGTGGAGGTTTGAAAGGACTCAGGAGCAACCGTGTCTGTTTGACGTTTCATACAGAAAGAAATTAGTTCATTATCAACGTTGAGGAAAAATGGCTAATTCCCTTTAAACCCAGGTGAGCAAATATGTACATTTTCAACCCCATTAAAGGCTTCTTTCTCGTTATGTAGTTGATAACAAAAGATATACTACATGCTTTTGGCTGTGAGACGTAGTTTGGACGAAGTTGTCGGCGATTCTTCCTATAGTAAAGTCATGCAATGTGAAAGTCCCTGTTGCCGATCCATCTTACAGTGTAAACAAAGCAGCGACGTAACGCTTACACAGATAGTCATGCAGTGTGAAAACATCTGTGACACGACTGCTTTGAAAATCATGCAGTCTGAACTCGGCATTAGACATATTATTCCCAAGGAAAAAAAAATGATGTGCTGTATTTCTTGATTGAACATGATTTGAAAGACTTACAGTTCTTGCTAGGAAAGAGGATTGAAGGGCACAAGCCCTCGCTCAGGATTTGAGGAGCATTCTAAAAAAAGAAAAGGACATTGTTACTCTTTGATCATCTTTATTAGAACATTTTTAATAATAAATAGTTTAATTCTGAACACATTAAAAAAACCTACTTCATCATATTTCAATTTGCAAACATGCAAGGTTTATTAATTATAAAGTGGATCATAACCATGTTGAATCCTATACTTCAGTGATTAACAATTTTTTTTTGCTTGATGCCCCCTTTCCCCCCGAAAAATATTGTAAGGCCCCACTCACTCCACAGTGCATGATATTATCCCTCATATAAGTTCGCAGTAGGTTTGACAACAAAAGGTTGTTTTCAAACAAACAATTTGTTTATTACTATATCTAGGTATGTTTATGCACAAATAATAACCTAATGTAAAATATAAAAGCAAAACATCAGTAGGCCATTTGTATTGGGTGCACCTTGTAGTACTGAAGATGAGTGGTCTGCACATGTCTTATTATTTTGGATGGCCTCATGCATTCGTTAGCAAGAACTTTGGAGGAGACAATGGACTCTGGCTGGGCCAGGCACTCTTTGCTTCGATAAAATGGAATCAAACCATAGTTCAAGTAACTATCTGGTGTTTCCTGCATTTAGTATTTCCAGTATTGCTAGTGATGACCAGCGACGAGATGATCCCAAGGTTTCCATATCCGGGACCAGGCCGTATCCTGAGCAGCAGCTGCGCTGGTCATGGAGGAGTGGAGAGCATGAGACTGATTCCAGTGACGCTCCAGGGACAGACGAGTCTTCGCTGAGGCCAGCTTCCAGCCTCCACCGCTGAGACTGCAGCTCTGCACAAGACTTTTGGCCAGCGGAAAAATTCAAATGGTCATGCCGAACTAAGTCTGGTTTCTCTCAAGGTTTTTTTTCTTCACTCGCCTCGGTGAAGTCTTTTTGTCACCTCTAGCTTGCATGGTTTGGGATCGGTAGAGCTACCCATCGATGGATTTGCTCTTCAGTGTTTGGACTCTCAGTAATGATTTTAAACCACACTGAATTGAGCTAAACTGAACTGAACTTAAACACTAAAAACTGAACTACTCTGTTCCAATTACTATGACCATTTATGTGAAGCTGCTTTGACACAATCTACATTGTAAAAGCGCTATACAAATAAAGCTGAATTGAATTGAATTGATGTTCACCTGGGTACAGTATGCTTGGGACATTACTATTAGCTGCTGAAGGTAAATCAGTGAGACTCTTTCTTTTTTTTTTTTTGGAAATCTGTCGATTTTTTTGGTCAGCCAGGAGATAAATTTAACTAAGGCAAGATGATCGTTCTCCTAATTGTCCGCTGCAATTTTTTTTTTTTAAATATGACGTGACGCCCTTACAGAGCTTGCTGAGGCCCCCTTGAGGCCCCCCTGTTGGAAACCGCTGCTTTATTTGGTGAATTGTCATTTATGTTCATAACAATGCCTGCAATAATAAAAAGCTACAGGTCTGATTGAAAAAACTAAGCATTTAAATATCATTGTATGTTTTATAGAGGTGGCATGGTGGATCAGTGATTAGGACTGTCAACCGAAGAAAACTGATCGAATGAATGTATGTTTCATATAAATGTTTTTATAATGTTTTTTTATATTTCCCAGTGATGGGTTACAGCTGGAAGGCCATCCGTTGCATAAAACATATGCTGGATAACTTGGTGGTTCATTCCGCTGTGGCGACCCCAGATTAATAAAGGGATTAAGCCGAAAAGCAAATGAATAAATGTTTTTTATATTAATGCACTGTGTTTATTATTTATGAACTATGTCATACAATAATTTGAACCAAAATCTCTGATGTTTTAAATATTATACTCACAAAATACACATACAGTACAAAACGTCATATTTAGTCTAAATATCAGTAAACCTTATCCTTACAAAACAATGCTACAGCCAAAAGTCATCGTATTTACCCTCATACCATAATTTATACAGGAAATGTTTGCTCATGTCTCACCTTGGTCATGTCTACTCCCTCCTTGCAGAACTGGGTGTAGTAGGTTTTGTCGCTTTGGCTTTTTAAAGCATTCACTAACGTCATGAATTTATCCGGACATTTCTCCACACAGATCTGTCAAAAGAACATAAACACATATACTTCACTGCCAACGTGTGACTACACAGTCACAGGCCACTTTATTTTAGTTTTAGATATACTATAGATTTTCTAACAACTGGGCTGCACCGGTGTACCTGATAAAGTGTGTAGATACACATGATATTGCAAAAAGAGGCTTAAATGAGTGTCAAACCTGAGTGGTGGGACACTGAAACTCGAGCAGGACCAGAGGACTTGCACACTTCATGATGTTGAAGTAGAACAGCAGAGGCTTTTTCCTGATTATTCAGACAGAACAAAATAAAGATTCATCTCTGAGATTTAGTCTGAGTAGGAAAACATTTCATAATTCCACCACAGAATTGCATTAAACGTCTATTGTCAATGGAAAACATGTCAGGGGAAGCTTTACTCACTCAAGTGGGGTGCCGGCCTGCCCACAAAACTGACCGGTGCTGTCCGTCGGGTAAATCACTTTCCGAGGGTCCCCTTGAGACCATGCTATAACAGAAGATAAAGCCCATTCAGTATCACATGACCAATAACTTGCCCTTAAAAAATGGACAGGTTAGTACTTTTAGCCAGGAAGGCACCATCAAAGAAATGTGAAAGGTACCAGGCTGAAACTTACCCAAAATCCCAACTGCAAAGTATCCCAGCAAGGCCAAGATGAACAGGATACAACAGAGAATGTCTGTGCAGCCCCTGTTCATCAAGAATAGCAGACGGGTTTAGTGCTACAGCAGGTCTATGAGGTTACATAAGTCTTGTTACATAAATCGTTGTGCTTAGATGTGTCTCAAACAGAGTAATTATCGCTAACTAGAACACTAACCTAAAAAAACCACTGATCCCTAATGATTGGGCCGTAATAAGCGTTCTCCAACAAATTCTCTAACTTTCACTGACAACAAATCTGAATTTCCACAACATCTATAATGAGTGGATGAACAGGTAGCTGTTGTGCTTGTATATTAATACTCTAATATAAAAAAATGTTAAAATAATAACATAATATGAAAATGTTTTATAGCTTATTATTTTTTGATCTGCAACCATGACACATTTGGTGGGATTATGATGGAGGACAAAACCTGTAAAAACAATAAACAAAATATTACGCAATATAAATAAATGAACAAATCCATACGTTCCTGCATAAATAATTACGCAAATAAATAAATAAACAAATCCATAAATTCCTGCATAAATGAATACACAAATAAATGAACAAATCCATAAATTCTTGCATAAATAAAAACACAAATAAATAAACAAATCCATAAATTCTTGCATAAATAAATAAATAAGCAAATAAATAAATCCATAAATTCCTGCATAAATAAATACACAAATAAATAAATAAACAAATCCATAAATTCCTGCATAAATAAATACACAAATAAATAAACAAATCCATAAATTCTTGCATGAATAAATAAATAAATACGCAAATAAATAAATAAATCCATAAATTCCTGCATAAATACACAAATAAATAAATAAACAAATCCATAAATTCCTGCATAATTAAATACACAAATAAATAAATAAACAAATCCATAAATTCCTGCATAATTAAATACACAAATAAATAAATAAACAAATTAATAAATTCCTGCATAAATAAATATACAAATAAATAAAAAAAATCCATAAATTCTTGCATAAATAAATAAATAAATAAGCAAATAAATAAATATATGAATCCACAAATTCAACATCAGCTCATTCTGAAACGTAGCCCTATATACATTTCTGGAGACTGTGCATTATGTAGCCAGAGGTTTGTCAAGAAATGCAGACGAGTTTAGTGCTACAGCAGGTCTATGAGGTTGAGGTTAGGGTTAGGGTCTAACCCCAAGTCTTGTTACATAAAACGTTGACTTTAGATTTAGACAAGATAATCATCGATAACTACAACACTAACAACTAATAAGCGGAAAAAAACAGGCCGCTGTTGTGCTTATATATTAATAATATAATATCAAATATGTTAAAATTATAACATAATATTATTTTTCACTCCGCGACCGCAAAACATTTAGCAGGACTTTGATCTCATATGGAGGACCAAACCTTTAAAAACATTAAATAAATCCACAAATTCCAGCAATCATAAATAAAACAATAAAAAAGAAATACACAAATAAATAAATAAAACAATAAATTTAAAAGAAACTTTGCTGTCCTAAAGAGCTTTCTTATTGTGTGTAATTTCATATGAAATTATTACTCCAATCATATTTGCTTTTATTACTTTTACCATTAATAATAATAATAATAATAATTATTATTATTATTATTATTATTATTATTATTAGAGTAATTTCTAAAGAATCATGTGACTCTGAAGACTGAAGTAATGAAGGTGAATCATCTTTAAAATCACTGGAATAAATGATTAAACTAAATATAAACTAATTTTGAACAGTTACTTTATGGTGCAATAACATTTTACAGTTTGTACTGTATTTTTGATGAAAAATTCTGCCTTGGAGAGCAGGAGAAGCTTATTTTAAAACCTACTAACCTCAAATGTTTGACCAGTAGTGTGTGTGTCTATATATGTATATATATCCACAAATTCATTCCCATGAATAAATATGAAAGTTGCTCAACATGCTAATGAGAGGGTATCCATCAATCCTCAAAAGGTGTTCCAAAAAATCGAACGTGATCATTTTAAAACGATACGGCATAAAGACCACCTTTATTTAACAATATATCTGCCTGCACTATTAATTATTCATATATTTATTATTTTACATATATTATATACAGTGCTTAGCTTATACACCCCATTTTGAAAATGAATATTTTTATCCATTTCTCAGTCAATAAAGGTAATGTATTTTGGTGCATTTAAAGAAAACAGATTTATTAAACAGATATGTTTATGAAAGTAATATTTTAGTCACCGAACATATTTAGAAGTTGAAAGAAAATACGATAAAATTCAAGCAAAATATTGCAAAAATAAATTACAACCTACAAAATGTAAACTAAATTTTTCTTTTTTTTCTTTGTTCTTCTTGATTTGTTTTCTATTTTTTAAATTTGTATTTAATATTTTTCTATAACATATAAATTTAAGTGTACAAGATTTTGAACTGTTATCATAAGTTATTTTGTTAGATAAGCTCTAGATTTGGCTTTAGTACTGACTAATCTAATGTATATGCACAACTATAATATTGTATAGCTTCCTATTAAAAATATCAATTTAAAAGAGAGATTTGCGAGGAGTGTACTTATATATGCTGAGCACTGAATCTATTTCTTTATATGTATTTATTTATTTGCATACTTGTTATTTATTTATTTAATGTTATTGCAGGTTCCGTCCTCCATAATCCTATAAGTTTTAGCTTGAATTTAATTTTTGCATAACTTTAAGAAAACCAATATTCACAGCTTTACTACAAATTTACTACAACTTTAAATTAAGCTTTTCTGAACGAATATTGGTGACGCAGAGGCACAGTAGATAGTGTTGTCGCCTCACAGCAAGAAGGTAGCTGGTTCGAGCCTCGGCTGGGACAGTTGGAGTTTCTGTGAGGAGTTTGCATGTTCTTCTTGTGTTCGCGTGGGTTTCCTCCAGGTGCTCCGGTTTCCCCCAGTCCAAAGACATGCGGTACAGGTGAATTGGGAAGGTTAAATTGTCTGTAGTGTATGAGTGTAAATGAGTGTGTATGGATGTTTCCCAGAGATGGGTTGCAGCTGGAAGGGCATCCGCTGCATAAAACATATGCTGGATAAATTGGTGGTTCATTCCGCTGTGGCGACCCCTGATTAATAAAGTGACTAAGCCAAAAAGAAAAGGAATGAATGAATGAAGATCAGTGGAGTCACCAGTGGGTCGCACATCTGTGTTTGCACTCGGTAAACATCAGTGAAGTGTAGTAAACTGATGACCTTTACGGCCAATCACAGTCATTTCTGTTGAGCACTGATGAACACCATTGCAAATCAGTTCCGTTTGAAAACTAACGCGCTCAACAGTACTTAAATGTTTGCGGGAAATTGATTTCTTTTTTTATTGCAGTACTGAAATTTAGTATCATGACAATTCTAATATATTGAAATAATCAGTTTGTTAATTTGAGTTTGATAAATGGCATCTAAAACGAATGAACAAATGAATGAATGAACGAATATTATCCTTTCATGTCAGCCTCAGTTAACAGAAGAATGCGGTAACTGCTTTTGATTTAAGTGACTAAGGTGAAAGGAATAAAATCAAGCTGAAAAAACGAAGATCATTTAATAAAACCTACTGAAGTATACATTTTAAAAAATACATAAATAAATATATGCTATCTAATGCTACTAAAGTAACACTGGTAATGGTTTGTAAACATTAGATTACATATAAAGGTACTAAGCAATGTATTCATCATTCAGAATGTGTCTTACCTGTTATAAATCGGGCCTTTAAATGTGGGATCAAATTTCCTTGGCTCGCCTGTGGAGACAATAAAATGACTCATTATTCCCAAAAGAAATAGCATTTGGATGATGGCCAACATCACAATATCGGCAATTACATATGAAGGTACTAAGCAATGTATTCATCTGAGCTGAAAACCCAATGCATAATTTATAAGGTTTGGATTAAGCTGGTTCATATTTCTGATATCTTAATGAACACACTGAGACATCAGAGTTTTGAATAAACAGACTTTGACTGGAGGGACACGCTTAACTAAATTAAGTTAAATATTAATTTGTTTTCTGACTTTCTAATGCATTGGAATAACATAAGGTTGAGTAAATGAAGGCAAAATGTTTATGGTGGGGTAAACAGACTCTTAATGAAGATTGCTTTCTGCTGTGATGAGAAGGTTTGTGCTATCTTGCAAAATCAAGTAGTGGTTTTGATAGGGCATGAGTTCTTTTCCTCCTACAAATACTGACAAAGATTATTTTATTCTTTATGAGTGTGCAATGAAAATGTCTACCTATATAACCACCTAGCGATGCTTAGACATTTATTTTGAGGAAAAAGGGCAACAACTGGTGGTAAATTTTGAAAAGAAAGGTGACAACTGGTGGTGTGTGTAGAATGAGTGTCCTGTTGAGGAATGTGTAAGTTCATTATTGTTTGGAGCTGCTGGAGAATGAGTTTATTTGTAAAACAATGGTTGTGTATGTAAAACACACAAATGAAGTTATAATTGTGAGAGGTTTTCAGGAGAATGAGTGACATATTATGACATTAATGTGCCATCACACGCCAAGGTATGTTAACGCTTAGACAAAATTGAATCTATGGAGAGAGAACTCTGGTGTGAAAACAGGTGTTTGCATTGTAGGGGACAGGGCCCAGAATAGGATGAACACCTAAAGATATACTAAACCCCTCAGTAAAAAGAAAACATCCTAAAATGGTCAGAGTTACAACGAGAGAGGTGGGGAGAGAAAATCAGTATAAATATTTTGAAGAACTACGCCCAATTTAAATTGTCCTGGAGTGAGACTAGGGATGGGTCTGCTTATAGACGTCTCTGCTTTTTTGGAAAATATTCCAATAAAGTATACTCTTCTGATATTCATAACCCCCAGTCTGAGTTTGATTCATCAAGAGAAAAACCGAAAACCACTACAATACCTCATCACTTCCTGGTAAAGTCTAGAAGCTGTGGATATCAGTATAACATAAGTTTTGTGATGCTGTACAACACTAATTACTATATTTATATTACTATTATTTTATATTATTTTATATTTATTATTTTAGATTTCGTAAAGAGGAGAATATTAGATCAAATAAAATACAAATATTGGGTAATTTAATAAATAATATAAATAATTATCATTAACATCCGGTCACAGCTGTATCCCTTCTAGCAACAACTCTGTTAGTAAGTGTAAAAGAACGCATCCTTTTTAGCTTAATGCTATGACTAAATTGAAAATTACCTGTTTTATTAATCTTGTGAGGTTAAAATTGCCATATTTACATCTACAGTATCACATCACTCTCACATCCTTCACTCAAACATTAGCAAGAAAGTAAAATTATCACGCATATTTAGATCAGCCGGACTGAATATTTGACATGTTTGTGATGGATTCAGTCATCTGTGCAATGCCTCACTTTCACGAAACTCGGCCAAGTGCGAATTTGGCAACGCTACCATGTCTATTTCGAGAAGCAGGTTGGGCCCCGGGATGTGCATCCTGTAAAGGCGAAAGTAAATGATATGAAACTCCTTATATGCCTCTTTATGCCACAAACCCTTATATATTGAGTAAAGATCCAATTCCATTAAGATATTTAGTAAGTTTCCATCTGAAAATAAATCAAAATGTCATATTTAATTACTTATATGCATAGCTGAGCTTAATCTAAGCAACATTTAGGGCATCTTTTTCAATATTTAGATTATTTTAACCCGCAGAATCCTGATTAATAATTGTATCTAGGCCAGATATTATCCTACATCCTTTCCTTACAAATATCACAACGTCAGTGTTTAATAGTGCAGCCCTAATACCTAATAAGCTCCAAATAATTAAACACATACACACAGAGAATACTCATTGTTGACGTTCTGTTTTTAGTCGTTTTGATGAGATACATTTTTGCCTCTGCCCTAAAGCCCCCCTGAGGCTACACTACATTAGTAACCAATAGGCATCGTCTCATAATAACTTTCTGTTTTACGTGTGTGTGCACAGTATTGACAGTTTATAGTGCCATCCATTTAAAAAGCCATCAGTGAACTAGATGCACTCAACAAACAGCTCCCTGATGACCGTAGTATTCAAAACAGTCACACTGTGCAGTATATCAATCAAACCATTCATATCGTGCTTTAAGAGCCTGTATATCAAAGTTCAATTCAATTCAAGCCTATTTATGATAACACTTTTTACAATAGTTATCAATCCAAGCAGCTTTACAGAATGCACACGTCTATATATTACAATCGAAATTATAAAGTTAAGGTGTGGAGAGCACTATAGAGCAGTCAAACATACATATAGTTAACCTACAGCAATAGAATATATTCATATAACACATTCTCAATGAAGTGATCTGATCAACTGAATAATTACGAACAATTATAAGCGAACAAAGTTAAACGGCTGTATTTAAACAGTAGATAACCAGCAATAACAGAGTTAGTCATAAAATTAAAAAATATATATATTTATATGTACTTTTTTTGTCTACAAAACTATGGCTAAAGCTGAAAGTAAGCTTTTTGAGCTATGAAATACATCACTGCTAAAAAAAATAAACATCAAACCTTGGTTTCCATAATAGGCACCCTTCGCCATCAGATTGCCTTCTATTCTTTGTCTCAATGTTTACCGTCAGACAGTCTCAAATACCACTTCCGTCCCCCTTGAAACAGGAAACTAGTCATATTTTGTTCCTCCGAAATACGTCTTGACTGCTTTTCTCAAAAAAAAAAATGCACTTCCTTAAAAGAAAAATGCCCTCACCATTTATTTACGCTCAAGTAATACACTTTTTTTCTTCTGTCGAACTCAAAGGAAGATATTGTGAACAATGTAGAAAAAAGCAGCCATTGACATCCATAGCAGGAACAAAAATGACTATGGAAGTGAATGAGTGTTTTATCAAGCATTCTTACTTATATCTTGGAACAAATAGAGAATGAGTAAATCATGACAAAATGCTCCTCTTTGGGTAAACAATTCCTTTAAATTTGCAGTATATATTTACTACACTCTGTTGTTATCTGTTGTAGTTTTAATGTTATTTTATTGCTAATCTTAAACATGCAGTATGTAGTATTGACAGTGGTTGAGGTAGTGGTGTTAGTGAGGCCAGCAGGGGGCGCTCAACCTGTGGTCTATTTGAGACCTAATGCCCCAGTATAGTGAAGGGGACTCTATACTGTCAGTGGGATGAGACGATAAACCGAGGTCTTGACTCTCTGTGGTCACTAAAAATCTAATGGCACTTCTCATAAAGAGTAGGGGTGTAACCCCAAATTCTCTCCTTCGGCCCTTACGATTATGGCCTTCTAATCATCCCCCTCCACTAAACTGGCTTTTTCACCATCTCTTCATTCCACCAATAGATGGTGTGTGGCGAGCATACTGTGTCACATCTGTCAGTGACCACCTGGGGCGCTGTAGTGCATCAGGACTCAAAAGGCACTACAGCGTCCCGGAAAGACTACAATTCCATACATACCACGCGCATACACCGGAACACATATACTGATCTGCCATTCACAGCTGTCTTCATTTCTGTTGATTATCTGGACTATATATTCCATCATTCGATCGTTGTTTGTGATCGCGTCGTTTGTCTACCTTGTCTTTCTTGTCGTTCTTGTCCCCAGTTCTAGTAAGTCTTGCATACCGAGTTTCTTGATCTTGTTCTTGAATTTTTGCTAAAGTCTAGTTCGTGTCTTAGTTTCTTGTTTTGTTTGTTTGTTTGTTACTTCGCACTTTGATATTTTTGGATTTTTGTTCACTGTTTTTGCACTTTAATATATTAAAAATCTGCACTTGGATCCGCAACCCTTTGTTCCCGTTTTTGTTTTGATCACGCTAAACGTGACATACTGGCACTGTTGTCCTGTGGCTGCGGTCGCATCATCCAAGTGGATGCTGCACACTGGTGGTGGTGTGGAGAGACCCCCAAATGATTGTGAAGTGCTTTGGGTGCATGACCATACATGATAAATGCGCTATATAAATACACATTACTTACTAGGTATCGTGGTCGAAATTCACAATATTGGAGACATTTTTTTTCCTGGCCGCTCCAACAAAGAATCAAAGCAAAAGCAGGTTGCCAGATTGACGGGACCAACTTGAGCGAGCATGTCTGATAATTGAGCCTTACAATGTAAGCTGCTCAGCTAATGTTTACATTTGTAATATATTTTTATTGTTTGCGTATTAAAAACCAACTGATAAGGATTTTTGGATGCTAATACTGTCCTGCAGAAGTTGGATTTTGGGACAGGCCAAATATATGGAGGCAGACTTTTGGACTGAAATGAGGTACTGTCAAGGTACCCAGGTGTGTCAAAATATAATTGGGTGAACTGACATTGGGCGGAGTAATACTGAACAAAACAAAGACACGAAACGCACATTTTCAAAGGAGAATATCTGACTTGATAATTGTTTTTAGATAAAAAAGTGTTGTATGCAGAACTGTTGTAAACAATGTATGTTTTGAATTTAAACAAACAAATTAAATTTAATAATGTTCAATTTAATTAGTTTGTTTAAATTAAGCCCAAATAAATTGTTTACAACCACTTAACGTAAAAAATTAAGTAAATCCAAGGAATCATCTTTGAATATTTTTTTCAGTGTATGTTCACCTAGCATGTTTCTTCAATATCTGCAAAACTATTTAGAATTTTTTTTTATTTCTACAGCTTTTACTTGAACCACTTTTACCGAATTTTATTAATAAAGTTATTAAAAAAGTTATCTGGAATGGCAAAGAAAGCCTTC